TAAACTCACCATTTTATTGTGTTTCTAGGAGTCAATTCATTTTGAGGATTTTGGTCCGAATGTTAAAACTTTTACAAGTAAGTCTCAGGAACATACACTTAATTTAGCAGTCTCTGCAAACTTTGTGGGTTTCAATACGGGTATGCATTGGTCACCATGCACGATGGATGAAAATAGTGATCTAATAAAAATGGATCCAAGTGCGCAGCAAATATCTGCTTCTGCTATTACAATACAATGGAGTTCAGAAAGTATTTGTGTCTCTATACTTGATGGTTACAATGTTACTTATTGTGAAGTAGAATTTAAAAATAAAAGTTGCTCAAATTTACCTACTTATATAATTGTGGACAAAAATTTGAAAAAACTTACAATATCTTATTTGAAGCCTTATACAATTTATAAAATTCAAATGAGAATGTATTCTCATGTTAATGAGGGTAAAATGAGTGATCCAATATATCTCCAAACTCTCGAGTGCGCTCCATCACCTCCACGTCAACTGCAGGTGTCGAACATTACTAATTCAAGCGCTTTGTTAAAATGGTTGCCTCCTAGTCAGCCTAACGGGCCGATTCGAAATTATATTGCTACTGTGAATGGTGAAAGATATCATATTCCAAATGAAGATTTTTATAATTCCTCAAACCAAATTATCTATAAAGTAGAAAATTTATACGCGTACACAGCATATAAGGTTTATGTGACAGCAGAAAATAGTGTTACCTCAGATACAAGCAACGATATTCACTTTACAACATTAATTAGTTGTAAGTATTATAATGAAATAAATAAACAATATATTAATAATTTTTTAAAACATTTTTCATAATAGATCCATCGCTACCTGGCAGTGCAGTTCCTGTAGGTGGTGATAACAACAATACTGTAATACAATGGGCCGAACCTGTATTACCAGGTGGTCCTTTAAGTTTTTACGAAGTAGCGGTTACTCAAACACGGAACACTGATGTGTTAGCAAGAAGGATAAGTGTTATCGAAGGACTCAATTGTAGTTTAAAAATACCTGCATGTATCGATCATGAATATAAAACAACTTTAGAAGTTCGAGCAGTAAATGCTGTAGATATAAACGATATTTCACAAGACGAAAAAAAGTCTTCTTTTTCAGACGATGTAGTTATAAACGATTATTATGAAACAAATGAACTGATATGCTCAAATGGTAAAGAACCTATTACAAAATACCAAAACAGTTCTTTATATTACCTTTATAAATCTGAATGGGTAAAAGGTACTACATATGGTTGCCCCACAAATCGGCTTAGTAAAATAACCAAAATTGCACTTTGTGTTATTGTTTTGTCTTTAGGTGTAATGATGACTCTTTATATAGCACGAAAACAATACAACAAAATGGCGAATATAAATTGCACGCTACCTTCGGATTTTATAGATTTCGAAGTTCCTAAAGATAATAATGAAGTTTTTACGACCGAAATACTTAAAATAAAGAAAGATACTCAGATTGTTAAAATGAATACAAAGAAAGAATTTGGTTATTCAAATGAAAATCATCATTTGCTTTCCGCTGTTAATAATGAATTTGGTTATCATGCTGAGCCACATACATTCAGAAGTCAAAATATTAAAACCACATCTGTTAATGATATTAGTAGCATAACAGCGAATTCAGTGATTTACGAACGTACACATTCTAATGGGTCTTCTAGCTCGTTAGCTGAAAGCAGTTGTAGCAACATATCAAATACGTTTCAAAGCAACATCAATGGCAAAAACAATTACAATGTTATTGAAGTAGTTGGCCTAAATATGGAAATATTACAAAAAGTTGGAGTCAACATCAGACCTGAAAGTGTCGTAAATTTGCAAGAGCATAATAGCGAAAATAATAATGACTGTAAGGGATTTAAAAAATCAAAATGTGATAATGGTTATGTTTCTGTAAATAACATAATTCAAACAAATCAATCATCCACATCAGACGAATATGTACCTTCATCGATTTTGATAGAAAATACTAATCAAGCATTACAAGATATTGATCATTACAGCCCAAAGATGGTAACTGCGCCTATTAATGCAAGTGGATATATACAGCATAATGAGTTATTTAAAGAAATATTTGAATTGTCTCCTCAATTAAGTTTGAATGATGATTACACAACAATAGAAGACTTAAATAAATTTAATTCCACTAGTAATGATTTGTTCAGCTCTGGTAAAATATCCGGTTATGTGAAACAACGTGACTTCACTGCTTATGGCCAACAGCAATCTATTTAAAAATTTATTCGATAAATCAAACGATCACAGATGTCTAGCAGTTAAATTTATTACAATATAATATTGAAGTAGATTTTCTGCTTGTTAAGTAATATCTAGTTAAAACCCCAGAACGAATAAATATAGACTTGCAATTTATTGATTTTATAATATTTTATATTACGATTTTTTAATATATTAGTTAAGTATAATTATAGTACTAACAGTACACAAATGGTAAATTTTATAAATACAGTTCAATCTATCAGAAAATGGATAAATGTATTATTTAATATGTCTATATAAATTTTAGTTGTACTTGAGAACATATTATAATAAGGAAAACAAATAACATAAAAATTCATAAGACTTGAAACTAATACATTCAAATTAACAAGAACAAAATTTCTACTACACTGGCCATTCATGTTAAAATTGTAAAATAAGTATTATATATCTAAGTTATGCATCCTTGTATATTTTTATTTTTTTGTTTTTAGTGTTAATGAAAATGTCTCATTGCTATTAATAAAAATTAATGAACTTTAAATTGAATTATATTTTTTATACAAAAGTTTGGAATATTTTAAATACTTTGAACAACACGGCGGCAATCAAACCCTACGAACTTGTTTTGGAAGCGGCCGCTTCCTACCTTACGTCCCATATTTGGATAATAATCAAAATATATAAAAAAAGGTCATGGCCAGACCTGCTATGCAGTCATCATTGACCAAGTAAAAAAGTGATCAACAAAAAATGAAGGTGGTGAGAGAATGTATGTGATATACATATCGCACACCTTCTTCGAAAGAGGCAGAACTCGAAATTCCCCAATTTTCAGAAAACGCAAAAAATGTTTTGCACCGTAGTGTCATTCTTAACAATAAATCAAATATAACTGTTTTTTTCGACAATTTGCAACAATAAAAATTTTGCGCGTTGGTACACAGATAAACTATAAGCAAGTTATATACCGTAATGATCAATTTTTTTGGTCTTTGTCAAAACAAAATTGATCTTACAGTTTTTTTCATATATATATTTTTTTTTATATTCATCTTTATTCTGATAAATAAATAAAAAAAAATATATATTAAACACTGGCAACAAACATATGTATAAAAGAAATCAAACAAAAAAAAAAAAATAACAATGAGAGAAATAACATGTTGACTGATGTTTACATTTTCGTTTTCGCCAAAGCTGAGAGTGCAGCTTAAAATCGCAAGGTGAGAAAAAGAAAGAGGGGAAAGTTGAGTTCGATGGCCAGAGGAGAAAAAAAAACGGAGTCGAAATAAAAAAACAGTTTGATTGCTTTGGAGGTCGGGTGGTTGTTTTGTTTTGAGGCAATACGGTTGATACTCCGCGGCGGATGGTTAAGAAATGGGGTAATGAATTGAAATTAGAGGAAAGAAAATTGAAATTGGAAGAAAATAAATTCAAGTTACTTGAAAAACTTACGCAAAATATGTAAATATATTTATATATATTTTATAAAAAAAATATGTGTTAATATGTTAAAATCGCAAGGTGAGAAAAAGAAAGAGGGGAAAGTTGAGTTCGATGGCCAGAGGAGAAAAAAAAACGGAGTCGAAATAAAAAAACAGTTTGATTGCTTTGGAGGTCGGGTGGTTGTTTTGTTTTGAGGCAATACGGTTGATACTCCGCGGCGGATGGTTAGAAAAAAAGATAAAGTGAACAAAAGAAAAACGGCGGATTAATAATAAAAATATAAAGTGAATAAAAAACGACGGATTCTTAGTGAACTACAAACGTAATAAACGCAAACATTGAAATAAAGGAATAAAATCAAGTGTATAGTTGGTGACTCCAAGCCCTGTATTGTGTTAATTTTTTTACACTGAGGAAGGGGTATTTTGAGCTGCATTTGGTAGATTCATTTCATCGATAAGAAACTGGTGGGCTTACAAAGGAAGCCAACCACATTTTAAAACGGGTGTTGCTGACGATCAACGGCAGATGTATGTAGCAGCAGCAAAGAATTCCACAGCATGTGCTTATATTATGCATATATATTATATCAATTGTCATATTTTTTTATATAATTTTTTGTTTATATAAGTAATTGAATTTTGTATGTATAAATACCTATATAAAGTATATTACAGGCATTGTATTATTTATGTTATTACTTAGTATTGTATTAAGTTTTTTTTTTTTTTGAAATACATCTAGTGTGTAATAATAGGCGAAAAAAAAATCTTGAAAAATAACGAAGAAATAATAAGAATGGTTAAATCGTAAGTATTAAGCACATTGATTTTTTTATTATGTTAGTTATTACCAAGTAACATTTATTTTATTCTATTTAATTTGTAGTTTACATACGTAAAATTAATTAAACAAACATAATTTTTGAAGTTTTTCTAAAAAATTTTTTTATAGAAATACACGTAAACTATGGACCACAAAGGAAACGAAGTGTTTTCTAGAGTGCTACTTGGCACGAAAGGAAGAGTTTATGGAAACCAGAAAAAAAAGACTTGGATATCAACATGTACTTGAGGACATGATAGCACATGGAATTGCAGTAAGTATCGCATAACTTCTGCAATCATTTGAATAAAAAAATAAATTAAATTATATTAAAAAAATTTATTTTAGGATGACTTTACTCCAGTCTGCTTAGAAAGAAAAATGCGCACACTTCTAAGTGCATTTAAAGCAGCCAAAGATAACAACAGACGGACTGGTGCATCGCAATGCTTACCACCCTACATGGAGTTGATGAACGAAATATTTGGTGATAAACCAATTATTTCAAATAATCACACTGCGACGTTAGGGTTTGACAGCTATGTTGAAGACATAGAGGTGCTGGAAGAGTTGGAAATAAACATTGTGCAAACGCACGCTGAGCTATCGCCAACGCAAGAAGCACCAACGGAAGAATCGCCAACGCAAGAATAACCAACGGAAGAATCGCCAACGCAGGAATCTCCAACGCAGGAATCGCCGACGCAAGAATCATCAACGCAGGAATTGCAAATGCAGGAATTGCCACAACCTTCAAAATTTAACCGCAAAAGAAAATCTGTGCGTCAAGAATATTATGATAACAAATTATTTGTTAAGAAAAGAATAGAGGAAGAGAAATTAAAATTTTTTAAAGAAACTATGAATGAACTGAAGCAAAAAAATAATTAAGAAATGGGGTA